CCGAATTTTGTGGGCTACCAACAAGGGGACAAAAAAGCCGCCTAAGAAGGGGCAGTTGAACCGCGTCTTTGGGACCGGTCTAATCACGCTTATAGAAGAGCCCTTTTATTTTTGTAGATTTTTCAATTCTAACCCTGAACTTTTCTTCTGAATATTCTTATTCTCCACTTCGTTTTTGAAACGAATGCATGATAATTGCCACTAGTCCTTCTAATTTTGCTATTTTGGTCTTAAAATGTTTCAATTATGTACATTACATTAATTTTGATATGGTAGTAATCATGGCAATTGAATTTAACTACACCTATTCAAATTAATGTCACAGTTTTCTACACATCACAAAATGTTAAACTTAGCCCCTGTTTGATTCTTATTTTTTGGCTAAAAAAAGAAAAATATGACCATTATTCATCACATCAGATCACCATAGTTGACTTTTTATATTTTATGTGGGTCCCGTAACGACTATATTTCTTATCCTCATTATTACAAAAATGGATACCAAACGGAGCCTTAATGTACATTACGAATATACAACTAGTATAATCCTAAATTTTTTTAATCATGATGACGATATTAGTTAATTAAATTTAAAGAATTAGAGTAGTTTGATTTGTATAACTTCTTATGAGAGGTGAACTCAGTTAAGTATCAATTAACGGGGGTATCCCCATTTCAAAGTTTAATAGATTTCTTAATATTTATAAATTATCATGGATTGTGTGAAATTTGATAGAATTTAATAGATTTCATAAGATTTGAATGGATTTCTATTTTGTAGATTTTAAAAGATTTTCATGGATTTTATAGATTCTAGATAAAATTTATAAATATGCTTAACATAAGCCACAAATTTTTACTTCTTCTTTAACGACTCATTCTTACACATATGCACGTTAATAAATCACAGAAAATGATCGAATCCTTGTTTAATTTTTTGTTAAATATTGAATATTATAACAGAACTTCAATAAAAAATACACCCAATATTCAACAAAGTGCGAGAGTGGGAGAGGACAAAAATATGTAGTGTTAAACAATCAAAGTCGTAATCAATATGAATTAGTTCAAAAGGCCACAACCTTGTGAGATACAAACACACAGATGTACACATACATGACCACAAGACAATTAATTTCATACCCCCAGAATTCTCATTGACCATGCAGACACAAAAGAAAAAATCGTGGGATACCATCCTCACATATCTTGGCTAGGATTTGCAGATATATATAGAAAACACACAGCTCTTTCCCAAGAAAAGGGAATAGGGTACAGAACTTGAAAGACGAAGTTGTTCTAGCATGCATACTAGAAATTGTAAATTACTATGATAATTTTCAGCACATCTATAAAATAGTAAACAATAAATAGCTTCAATAAGAAAAAATAAGTTCAATAAAAAATCACACTCAATATTCAACAAAAAATAGTAACCTTTCATAAATTATCATCAATTGAAAAGTTCTCATACACGATTTTTTCACAGTAGAGAAATGTGAGATAGAAAGACGAAGAAAATTTTGTTCAAGATTGGGGGGGAGGGGAGAGAGAGAGAGAGAGAGAGGGCAGCAAATATGGAGAGAGGTGAGAAATATTGTGAAATTTTTAGGTTTGGGTTAAAATTGTTACTGATTCTTTGTACTTATATTTTTACCTTGAAATCCTTCAAAATCTATCATAATCTATCTACTTAATGAAATCTTTTAAAATCAACTAGTTATTGAGGACATCTGAATTTCAAAACTACCTATTAAAATCTATGTTGAGGACACCTAAATTTACAAGTATTTTTAAAAATCTAGATTGGGGACACCTATATTTTAATGAATTATATTTAAATTTGAATTGAGGATACTTCAATTTATATGGAGTTTTAAAATCCATCAAATTCTAGATTGAGGACACCCCCCTAAAATTCTATACATGGAATCAAATGCAATGATGAAACTCTGATTCGGCTCTTTTTGTCATTCTTCAAACAAAATTATAAAATGTAAATAGTCATGTAAAGTTTTTTGGTTTCGTTTCGATACTATTTGTTTTAATCAACAAAAAATGTTATTATTTCATGTAAATATGTAAAAATTAATTTAATGGTTAATTTAATTGAAAGATTACAAAAAACTTAATTCTAGCTAGAATCAAGAATCGAAAAATAAAAATCGATCGTGCTACATGTGTATAATGATTTATATATACAAAATGTAGTGATATATGATTGTATCAGAATTTCTTCAATCAAGTAAGAAAAAACTTCCACGCTCTCTTTTGACATCTTATCTATATGTAAACTACTATATAATTCCTTATGTACAAGCAACATTATATCTATAATTGTATGACTCAAAAAAGCCACTTAAAAGATTGTTCAACACATAATTTTCGAGGAAGGAATATTATTTTTATTATTATTTTTGGAGAATATATGATTGAAAAGTGAAAAATAAATGTGATTCCTATAAAATGTGAGGTTTAAAAATGATTTTAAAAATCTTTGAGAAACAAGCCTTAATTCGGTTCGGGTGGCTTTGTAAAAATTGCCCAACTCTATAAAATATCGACAGGGTATAAATTGTTATTAACCAAATTTTATTGATAGTGGCATCTGGAAATATATATAATAAGTTAAAGAAAAAGTTGGCATTGATATGACATGAAACCAAAATCAATTTTGGATAAAGGCATAATTTAAAAAGCATACCTAAGATGAGTAGTGACACCCACTATTAAAGTAAATTGAACTTTATCTGATAATCTTCCGTTTGGCTCTCATTTTGTGGTAAAATTAATGGATGGAATAGTATTTTTTGAAAAATGAGTGGTTGAAAAATAAGAAAAAGTTTTCGATTTACATATAATATTATTTTATGAAAAATTGTACGGTTGAAAATAGGAGAGAGAAAAATGAAATTTAATGAAATAAAAAGTAATGGAGACCAAATGGGGGGTAAATAAAAATTAAGTACATATTTTGTGTATTGTATAATCGAACACAATCTAATATTATTTATGAAACATGCACTATTAGAATAAAACTCATCGTGTGTTTTCACTTTTATACATATATATTAAATAGTGTCGGTCAATTTTTATTTTTTATTTTTTCAATATCAAATATGAACCAAATTGAGTTTATTTGTTCTGCTAATTTCTCATCTAAAAACCCTTTATCTCAGTTTAGGCGGTTCTTGGGGGAAAAAAAATTGAAAATCTTAATCATCATGAAAGAACAAATAAAACCTATAAACATAACCATTAATGAAATTTAAAACTTTTGAGCAACAATAAGTATTTGATTTAGAATTCTATAGTCCCAATATCTCAAATTTTATAACCCGAACTATTCACATTGCTACTTAACCCAATTAAAAAACCTCTGTTAGATAATTAGGTCAATCGGTTTTCTCAATGGTCGTAGAGAAGATAGATGTGGTGGTTGAGAGTCCTATGCTAATGTTAAACACTAGTGTAAGTTAATTTTGACGGAGATGAGTCTTTTGAATTCTGAAAGATTACTTATTGAAAATTATCGTCTACTTTATATCTATAAAAGAAATTAGGTTGGTGGCCCTCATATCATTTTGGACTATGTCCTTGTGACTAGTTTAATCAATCCCCATTAACTAGAAATAACGATCGTCCAAGTTTCTAGAGACTTGTTTATCAAAATCTATCAATAGGGTTTTTTAAATCTCGCACATAAGCAAGTTTTACGGTGATGAGTTAGGTCATTGTACATAGGATCAACGAATAATTAGATAAAATAATCTTCTTATTATTGGCGACTCTAATGGAGGGTTCTTAGTCTTAGAAATCCATGTCAAACAAATTCTAAATAATGTTCGTTTTCACTTATATTCAAACCAATGAAGCACGGTTTTTTATTTTATTTTATTTTTTTTGATATGGAGGGAAGGTATATGCCATTAATTGAGAAATCTGGTACAAACCAATAAAATCGGATCCATTTATTTCATGTAAGCAAACGAGATATCCATTTGCAGAGACAGGGCCAAGTGTATGAATTCAAATTTTAAAATGAAATTGATTACGTTCTTACATTTGCAAACACAGAATTTAAAAATCTGACTTTTCATGCAATAAAAATCATCCATATGGGATTATGTTATCTACCCACTATAAATATTGTCAGGAATTTGCACACCTATTGTTCTAGTAGAATTTTGGTCATCAACTTTTAAATAAGAGTAAATTAATCCTTAAACTTTCATTAAAATTTCACAATGAGTCTTGATTGATGGAGCCATTAATCTTCATTGAGATGTCATGTACTTACTCGTAAAAATATGTCTTCCTTCAAATTTAACGAACACCAATCAAAATTGAGAAGCAACACTTTGCTTTAAAAATAAGAGTAAATAGATCTAAATCTTTTACTATAGTTGTATGATCACTTTTTAATGACAGAATTGTTCAAACCTTTATTAAGTTGTTGTATGATTCTAATTAGCAAGATATGTCTTACTTCGGATATTTTAATACCAACGAAAATTGCGAAACAAAATCTTGCTTTGTAAGATTGGACATGAAAGTTTTTGAAAACGAGCAAATTAATCTTCAACTTTTCATCACGATTGTATGATTATTTTCAACTTTAGGACCTTTCGAAATCTTTATTGGGTTATCTTACTTCAAACTTCTCAAAATCAATCAAAGTTATGTCTCATGAAGATTTAATAGAATTCTAGATTAAGTTATCTTGCTTCAAACTTCTCGAAACCAATCAAAGTTAGAGTTTAGGATGTAAGATTGAATAAGTGAACACCGCATGAGAATTTAATAGAATTCTACATAGTTTTGGCCTTTGAAATTTTTGTGAGGTATAATAAAAGGTCTAAGATCAAATTGTTCTTTTAAAAAACTATGGGGACCAATATATCAATTGTCTATTATTGTTTATCAATAAATGAAAATTTCACCGTCTATAAATTAGCAGAAAAAAGGAGTGTAGGGTCCACTTGGAGACAATTTTTGGCTTCCTTCTCATTTCTTCTCTCCTCCATTACTGTCTTTTTTTCACTTCGTTCTTCATCTCTCTCTTCCCCCCTTCTGGAACTCATTCATTAATACTCTCTCTACTTTTCCTCTCTCTCCAGTTCTTGAATGTCCAAGATTTTCAAATCCCCGCTTCCTAAAGCAAGAAATATCTTCAGTGAACTGCAATTGGTTTATGCAGTTAATAATATTCTTTTGAAGGATTTAAAGGTCATAATTATTTAATTGGCTTGCTTTAACAGTAAGTTATACAAATCCTTTTTTCTTCTTTTTCCTTATTATTTATTGTTGTTTCAAACTCTATGATAGTAAATGGTATCCTCTGCAAGCTGATTCATGTGATCTGATTTTGGATACATTTATGTTCTTTACCATATTTTCAAATTTGGGATTGTATGTTTTGTGATGCTGTATTGACTCAAGAGTCAACCAACAAACTGTTTAGATTCTTGTTTTTTGGGTTGCATTTGAAATCTCGAACTGTTCAATTATTGAGTCATACATGCAAAGATCAATCAATTTTGGTTAATCAGCTCTGTTACCTACTGGGTTCTAATCTATAAGGTATTTGAACTGAAAGTTTTTATAAATATCCCCATTTTGGCACAACGTGTAAATTGAAGATTTTTATCTTTATTCAATACCTATAAAGAAAACATTTTTCTTATTACTTTGGGGGATTGGTGAGTTATTACAACTGTGATTCGTCTCTTGTTTAAATTTGAAATTGGATAGATAGAACTCGAATGGTTAGTCCTGATCTGAAGTTTGTTGGGTAATATTTTTTCTCTCTCTGATTCATTATTTTGTATTATCATTTCTTTTTGTTAGTAGCCCAGTAATTTTTTTTCCCTTCTGGATGTTGGAATAATTGTGGTAGAATAGCGTTAGCGTATATTGCGTTTATTTCTTCAAGTTTTTATTAATATGGTGAGAATAAGGGTTTTCTTTGTTTAACAGCTACCTGGGTATTTATCAGTTTTATTGAGTTCTCGAAATCTATTCATATGGTTTACCTTTAAATTGGTTTTTATCGGGTTAAAATTCTGTTATCCATTGAGTTTGGAATGAATACTTTATATTTTATGTTTAGTCACCATCATTATTGTTGCTGTTTTCAGTTCAATTCTTTATTTTGGTACAGTTGGCACTTTTAGATTTTAAATTTTTTTTCCACTATTATTTGGTTAGACACTTCCGATGTTTTGCTGAAGAATTTTAAAATTTTGAATTTGCCTTGATTGAATATGCAGGCTGGAAGGGTTCTGGATTAGGTGTAATATGTGCCATTAACGTGGTGCACATTTCATGATGTCAAGTAACGGTATGGATCACGAGAACGAGCATTGTATAATACCAAATGGTGGGGCCTCTGTCCAGTCGTGTGAGTTTTGTGGTGTAGATAAAGATTTACAGCCTGTCAATCTAGAGAGAGCCAGTTCTTGTGCAATGCCATCTGTCAGTCCCACTGCATCATTAATAAGCAGTGACAGTTCCATCTCAAACTGCAGTAAACTATCGCTCTTTATATTTCATCCTTGTTCGTGCCATGTTGTTTTTGCCATTCCTTCACTTTTACTCTTTATTTTTCAGGTGACATTTCAGTCGATGCAAACTTTTATGGCCGGTATGCAATTCATTGTCCTCTCAAATGCATAATTTTATGAGAACTAAAAATTAACTTGACTTGAACACTGAAAGATTCCACACGCTTTCAACTTATTTCGATATTTTCTATGTTGTGTTTCTGTTCCCTATCAGGGTTTATGTAGAAGAAAGCAGCACAGAGAGCAGTCAAGAAGATTCTGTTTCTGGTTCAAAAGGGCATCTGGATTATTCAAACTCATCAGTTAAATTGAACGGTTTTCATCAGACTGGTGTAGAAACTGTAGGAAGTGGCGAAGTTCAGATTGGACGAGGTAATAATGTGGAAAGAGTTGGTTCGTATATTAACGAAGAAACTGGGATGTCTGATGAAATGGATGCTCAATTATGGCTTCCACCAGAACCAGAAGATCAAGAAGATGATATCGTAGATAGGGTAGCAAATTATGATGATGATGACGATGAATGTGGGGAGGACGGTGTGAGGTGGGCCAAATCGAGTTCTTTAAGCTGTTTTGGAGGAGAAGGCAGTGGAAGCTACAAGTTCAAAGAGGAAAAGCGTAAAGCAATGGACAAGGTTATGAATGGGAAGTTCAAGGCCCTTGTCGGTCAACTAATTAAGTCTGTCGGTGTTGCCTCTTCTGGAAATGATGAAGAAAATTGGGTGGACATAGTGACTTCTTTATCATGGGAGGCTGCTGCTTTTGTGAAGCCTCGTGCAAATGAGGGTAAGGCAATGGATCCTGATGGATACGTGAAAATCAAATGTATTGCAACCGGTTCCCGCAGCCGAAGGTAATGAGCACCAATTGTTTTCTCCAATGTTTTCTTTCTTTATTTGTGGAAGTTTCTGGTTTTTTATTGGTTAAATCAGATTATCTTTTTATTTAAGGGTTTAATGAGACACTAGTATGTGGTGTTTTAAATGATCTTTTGCTTGTTTTTGAAATGTTCAATGATCCTTTTATTAGGTAACGTAATCCCATAAGGAATAAATATGACCTTTCGAACAAGTAAGTGTGCCTGGGTAGATGACTACATGCCAATTGGCTATGAGGTGGATATTATGGCACTATTAATTTGGGCATTTGTTACATCAGGCACATGGAGTTTTCTTATGCAACAATAGATTTTGTCATGAACTAAGAAAATTGCAATGCAATTGCTGTTCTGAAGTATTAATGGATATTTTAATTTTTGTTGAAATTTCATACCATATACATTGAGTTCTAAATTTTTGTAAAAATATTTCTTTAGTTGAATCTTTCTGCATTCTATCTGTCCTAAATGTTAAATGATACTGGTTAACGCATCTTCAATGTAGATTCATACTGGTTGTTATGAATTTAGTAACCACTTGATTCTGTTGATGCCAGTCATCTGTTGGTGAATCTTTTTTAATCTTATTTTTAAAAAATTTCTGTAGTCAATTAATCAAAGGATGTGTCTTCAAAAAGCATGCTGCCCACAAACACATGCCAACAAAGTACAAGAACCCAAAATTGATGTTGATCAATGGTTCACTCGATCTCTCTTCCAGTGGATTATCATCATTTGAATCAATGCAACAGGTGCAGGAAATATTACAGTTCTGTAGGAACTTGTGAAGCATTTATCTCTTCTATATTATACAATTTTCTTTTCTAATCATATATAAATAAACAGGAGAAGGATAGTCTGAAATCTATTGTTGAGAGGATAGAAATGTACAAGCCAAATGTGATTTTGGTTGAGAAATCAGTTTCTCGCGGCATACAAGAATCCATTCTTGCGAAAGGCATGACATTAGTCTTTGATATGAAGCTCCATCGTCTGGAGAGAGTTGCTCGTTGTACTGGTTCACCTATCTTGTCATCAGATTTTGCTATTGGCCAACAGCTTAGGCCGTGTGATTCATTTCAGATTGAAAAGTTTGTAGAAGAACACAATTTTTTAGCCGAAGGTGGGAAAAAACCGAGTAAAACATTAATGTTTCTTGAGGGCTGTCCCACTCGGCTTGGATGTACGGTGAGTCTTTCTTCACTTGCTTGTATACTTATTTAACTGAAAATTTTATCTAGAGTTTACATTAGTTGTGATATCCATGAAAGATGATTCTTGTTAGGAAGCATATTGAAGTAAACAAAAAAGGATGATGTTGTAAGTTGAAATATCTGGCATTCCCTTAGAATAAAGGTTATAAAAGGCATAAGGTGTGGCAAAGAGTGGAGGTCAAGCCTCAAGTCTTGTGAGCTAGGCGTGCCTAGGCGTAGTAAGGCACTTTTCTATTTCAATATTATTTTAATTATTCTAGACCAATAAATAAATAAAATAATTCGTACCTTGAACATTTGTACGAACTTCATACATATTTTTCAAGTTTTCAACGCAAACATAATTCTCATAATCATAAATACCCCAAATCAATAATGCTTTGTTTGTGGGCTGGGTTTGGGCTAGGTGAATTTTTTGTTTGACTTATTTTCATTTTGTGTTTAAAAATGGTTGAGCATTTTGTGGGGCTAGACTTTAAATCAAAAAATTACCACCTGCCCAATGTAAAGGTGTGAGCCTTAGGCAGTCAACGTAGAGTTTGCCATTTTTTTGTCTAGGTGTTAGGAGAGGTTTTTCTCCATGCCTTGTGACTAGGTTGGCCTTTAAAAACATTAACGATGTCAAACAATGAAAAGGTGGCATGCCTATATTGTATACTTAAAAAAGAATATTTTTTGACTGTGTATAAAAAGGAATAGTTACTTCTAAGTAACTTTTTATTCCAATATGTTAATTTTTATTATTATTTTGAACTATTGATCGATTAAATAAATCATTAATTCTAAAATTTACTTAGCTTCTGTTTGAGCCCCATTTTTTGAAAAAATAAATTTGGTAATAGTGATAATTTTGGAGAATGTGTAGTTAAAAAGTGACAAAAAATTTTGGATTTACATGCAAAATTATTTTGTTGGAAGAATGTATGGTTGAAAATGAGTCTGGAAAAAAAATGAGTTTTTAGATAATCGGGCTAAAACAGGGCTTATATTTTAACTTTTTAAAGCTTAGCGAAGCATGTTATTTTTTAAAATGTTTTTTTATAACTGAAGTTAGTTCTCTTGCATTTCTTTCCCTTTTGAGCAAGTTTCTGTCTTTATCAGAAAGGTTGATCACCTGTACAATGGCTATCTGGACTACCTGCAAATCAGAGTTTCATAATTGAATTACAGCATTCTTATTTTTCTAAGTTAGCAATTTACTTTTGAGTTCTGGGGGAATAAAAGTGCAGAACTGGTATTGTACAGATTTTGCTGATGGGAGCTAATGGCGATGAACTGAAAAGGATTAAATGCGTTGTCCGGTGTGCAGTTATCATGGCATATCATTTAATGCTCGAGGCTTCTTTCCTTCTAGATCAGAGGGCAATGTTCTCGACTATTCCTCTAAACAAGATGGCGGACCTAGCACTTAACCATCAACAATTACTGTCAATTGATACAGATAAGACAGCTGTATTTTCCCAGGAAAGTAATGCTGAAACTGAGTTGTCATTGGACATTCCAATTTCCGATGGATTCAATGAAACAGGACCTCACAACCTAATATCACTGTCTGAAGGCAGTTCTTCATTCTCGTATGAGCCATATAGCCAGGCAACATTTCAGGGATTATCTCTGTCAGAATCTCTTAAAAAAGTTATGGATGATAGTTTTCCATTTTTCTCTGATTCTTTTCAAAGTATGTCCAGTCAGCTTGGGTTTAATGGAAGGAATCACGAAGATCATGTCGAAGATGAGGTGAAAAAATCTACTTCTGCCAGTCAGCTTGGGTTCGACGGAAGGAATCATGAAGATCGTTTAAGAAATAAGGTGAAAAAATCTAGTTCTGCGATGGTGATGGATCACAATGGTAAAATGGCAATGGCAAGATCTGAAGAACAGAATTTGCTCAGTAATGAGGAGTTGCATCTGCCACCAGGTTGTTCTGTAGAATCTTTGGACACACTAGACCATAGTGATAATGCTGAAGACCAAACGAATAGTAAGAATGAGATCAGCTCAGTATTGGATTCTGAAAGTATTTTGGTTCTGATGTCGAAGCGGAATGCTTCAAGTGGAACTGTTTGTGAGCAGAGTCATTTTTCTCGTATTAAGTTCTACCGGAATTTTGATGATCCTCTTGGAAAGTTTTTGCTGGAAAATTTACTCAAGCAGGTATGTGAAACTCCTGTACTTGGTTTAAATTATAGTGTCCTTGTGGAAACTTTAGCTTCATGTTTTCCTGGTTTGCACGAGAATGAAATGTGTACTGAATATATCAAACACATTACGCATTTTACCTTATATTCACAACAATTTTATTTGCTGATGCTCAGTTTGTAAGTTGAAATGTAATATCTTTGAATTCAAAATTTCTTGTAAGGGGTAGCGTTCTACCAAAATTTGAATCAATGTTCTTGAAATTTCAAATGATGTATCAATGCTAAGAAATTTCAACACCGAACAAAATTTCTGTTCTAGCTTTATTTTTCATTATGCCTAGCAGGTTGAGAAGTGGTTGATGCCACAATCTGCTTTAGAAATATACTCAGAAGTTGTTAGTTTTCTTCCTTCATGTCCTTAGAACGGTGCTGCCAAGAAAAAGGGTCTTCGAAATTTCTTGCTGTGGATGTTCTAGTGAAACTATGGGATTTAAACCATAATTTCTTGAGCCAAGAGTGGTACTCATCTGGTTGGGGGCACTTGAGGGTGCCTTGCTTTTGTTTAACAGAATTCAGAACTTTCAGTGAGCTAAACTAGCCCTCAAGCCTGGAGACAAATATTGTTTTTCATATATTAATTTCACAAATTTTTTATTGATTTTTGATAATTCCTTTTAGGTCTGTATTTTATGTATTCATAGATCTTTTTGCAATTTTATTTTTCTTCTACACAGGGACTCCAGTGCAGGACTTGTGGTAAACCCCCGGAGGGTCATTTTTTCTATTATGCACATCACAATAAGCAACTAAGTATTCAAGTTAGACGTCTTCCTGATGGCAAATGTCTGCCTGGTGAAACTGAGGGGAAGCTTTGGATGTGGAGTCGCTGTGGTCAATGTAAATTTCAGAATGGAAGCTCAAAATCTACTAAAAGGGTTTTGATATCCACTGATGCTCGTAGTATATCATTTGGAAAGTTTTTGGAGCTCAATTTTTCCAACCACTCGTCATTCAATAGTCCATCCAGCTGTGGTCATTCTTTTCATAAGGATTTTCTCTACTTCTTTGGGTATGGTCAATTCCTAACTACTACAAATCTTTTATGGGAAAGATGAGTGGCATCTTTTTTCTTCTTCGTTATGGGAACACTGCATTTGCCATGCCATGTTTCTATTAGTTTGTTGTCCCTGATTTTGGTATATTTATTGGAAAATAAGTATTTTATTATATTCTTGTTCTCTGTTTGTCAACATGCAGATCTGGCCCAATGGTTGCAGTGTTCAAATACTCACCAGTTTCTACTTATTCGGTGTCTCTGCCACATCAGATGCTGGACTTTAACTCTTCAATGAGAGCAGAGTTTCTAAAAGAAGATTTTAAGAAGGTGAGTACCTTCATAAAATTGATGGCTGTTTTATTACTATCTGGCTGATTATATAATCTTCAATTTTGACTGAACTTTATTTTCCCTTCCCTCTCTTAGGTGCATTTGAAAGGGACTAAGTTGTTCTCGGAGATAGAAAATTCTCTGAAGGCTTTAGAAACTAGATACATTGGTGTAACTCTCAACATTCAGGGATCAAGTAAGAAATTTTCTGATATCGAGGAGATGTTAAAGCAGGAAAAATCTCAATTTGAGGTTAGAGGGCTCGTCCTAGATAAATTTTCTTATGCTTCTACATTATGTAGCAAGATCATCACTCTTATTATTGTGATTTTTTTCCCTCTAATGAATGCAACTGTGTAATAGGCTGGTTGTTTACTTCCATCAATTAATTTACAAAATTCAACATGAAACTTGCTACACATCGTACCAAGTTCATCAGTTTATTATTGTTGGTGATGGAGAATCTGTCATTTGGTCGAAACATAGTGAGACAGTATGATCTTAAAGGAGCTCTTCATGCTCGTTTTAATTCTGCTGGCAATGGTTTGGGAGACGTTCTCTTGGATCAGAATTTCGTCAATGACATGAATGATTCTCCTCTATATATCAGTAGGAAATCAAAGCGTAACTTGCAGAGGGCTGTGTGGAATGACACTGCTTTCCTCCAAGTGAGTTTAGCATTAAAGTTACCACTAAATAGCTTAATCTATATTGTTCATAGCTAAGGGCTTGGGTTTCTGACTGTACTTTTTCTTTTTCTTTTTTTTTTCTTTTTTTGGTTCCCTTTTCAGTCGATCAACGTCATGGATTATTCTCTACTTGTGGGAGTAGATACTGAACGTCGGGAACTGGTATGTGGCATCATAGACTATCTCAGACAATATACGTGGGACAAACAACTAGAGAATTGGGTCAAGTCTTCGCTTGTTCCTAAGAACCAGCAGCCTACTGTCATCTCTCCAAGAGAATACAAAAAGAGATTTAGGAAGTTCATCGACACTCATTTTTTGTGTGTCCCGGACCATTGGTGCTCCCACAGATTGAGTAACCCCTGCAAACTTTGCGGCGCCGGAGAGGAAAACAGTTCTTCGCGTGCGAAGACTCAAGATCGCAGGGAACCTGATGATGATTCTAGACCTCTTACAAAGTCTATAGAGCAACCCGCACATGAAGCGAAACCTCGTCCCAGTTCTCCAAATCACGGACGAAATGGTTTTTCTGCCTGAACTTCATCAGTCGTCTTTTGTGTTAATTAATTTTACATAATGTTGTATATAGCTTATCCGCGCAGTATGCCTGCTCTCTTTCTGCTGTTTTTTTCCAGCTAAGTTAAGGGGCATAATCTCTATCTTCTTTTATAGGTTATTACATATTGATTGCACATGCAAATTTTGTATGCATATCTTCTCGAGTAATTCTTGAAAAAAAGAAAAAGAAAAAAGAATACTGAATTGGTAGTCAAACGAATTCTACCCCTTTATATGGTATGAATGGAAAAAAGTATTTTGGGTGGGTTTTGGAAAAATGCCTGTACTTTTTACAGATTATACTGAGAAAGTTACGGATAGCTCTACAACTTAGCGAGGCCGATTAGGTCGGTCTGGCTCACTCAGATAGGTGGCGGGACTTGTTAGGTCGGATCGACAAAACCAAACTGTCGTGAATCCCTCTGCAACTGGCTCGGCCTGGCCGATTGATGTTGAAATCATCTCATATCAATTCAAACAAGTATCTTTTTATGATTTTAAACAAGTTTAACTTATGCACAATACGGGAGTTTTCTTTGCGAGGCTTACCTGCTTTGCTTAGCCATTTGCAGTTCGACCCATTTTGACATCACTAGTTAAAATCGTTCATGGCATTATTGACCTGAACACAAATTTGAGAAAAATCATAAGAGAACTCATCGGGGTTGGGGGTGGCCTGTGGGGGGATGAGCTTTTGGAAGGTCTGGCTTTTCTTGCAGCTTAATGAACCATGTGAGCTGAGAGCATTACGAATCAACAGTCACTTTATTTTGAAGATATATACATAAGAAAAAATGTATGTATACGTGTATACATGCAGTTGAAGCATAAGTTTATACAGCCCAAATTTGTCTGTTAACATGGCACACGTTTCATGTTGATTAAGGTTGTAAGACTATGAAGTCTTTCTTTTTAAGGTAATCTGGTCACTTACGATGTATTCCTTGCTAAATTTTTATCGTGTCGAGTCCGAATCAAACTTTTTGAATGATCAAGTACAATTATTTATAGTTGTGCGAATCGGAGATCGAGACACTGTAAATTCAAAAAATGTATTAAGGTATCATTTCAAAGTTGAGCTTAAAGTAAAAATCTATAAAGAAAAAGTCCTACAAAATGTTGTGATCAAGTAATTGTAACAAGAAGTTTGGAATCCCTTTTTTAAATCCTCGTAGATTTATTAGCACATTAAACAATTTTTTTTTTTTTTTTTTTTTTTTTTTTTTTAAAATTTTTTTTTAAATTGGAACCTTTTTTTTTTTTTTTTTTTATCTTATAACAATTATATTGAAGTAGGCACACTATTTGAGAAAATGACATGACGTCTGAAGCTACTTTTTTCGCCGGGGTGGGGGGGGAAGACGTTCCATGGGATCACGTAGCTCAGAAAATTACCCCACCGTGGACGTCGACTTTGAAGGTAGATGGATTGCATCGACTATTATATTCTGGATTGGGATTCAATTGGCTAAAGAAATTGAAGAAAATGTTAGAATCTTGTGCCACCCCAAAGATACCTTTCCTATAGGAAACTAAAGAAAAGTACAGCAGTGGAATGGCTTCTGCTCGAACATCTCAACAAGGTATCTCCTGCCCTACCTCATAAATATATTAATAGCCATTTCAATTGCACTGCATTTTATTTCACAAATTTGTAATTAGATCCGAATTCAGCATGTTCGATGGGAATTCTATTCAGCATCAGATTGAAAGTGGAGAAGATAATGATTACTACTACATAGCAGATGATTATGATGACGATGCAGATAATTCAAATTACATATACATCGTCAATACAATCTTAAGCGGTACTGCTCGACTCAATGTTCTCTTGCCTACCGCCACCATCCTGGCGTTCACCATTTTCGCCCCCCTCATAACTGATGATGGCAAATGCACCACCTTCGACCGGTGGCTGATGGGTTTCTTCGTGGCTTTATCAGCCACCTCCTGTGTGTTCTTCTCATTCACTGACAGCTTTCGAACAGCCACAGGGAGGTTGTACTACGGGGTGGCAACATTCCACGGGATAAGAACATTCAATGGAGGGCGTGTGAAACCCTGCGTCCCGTCGGATTACAGGCTGAGATGGGCAGATATCTTCCATGCAGCCCTTTCCTTGACTGCTTTTCTTACATTTGCAATGTTACACAATGATGTTCTGAGCTGCTATCATCTGATGTTGCCCAGAAAAGTCATCTACAGTGTCCCTTTGGCGATCGGGTTTATAATAAGCGTTCTTTTTGTACTGTTTCCTTCCAGGAGAAGAGGAATTGGGTATCCCTTCTTGCTGCAAACTGATGCTTTATACAGCAGAAATTGACAAACAACTTTTCATCCATTTAGATGAATTAGAATGAGCAAATGCCTCTAATATGCCTCTCTTTACACAGAAGGGGGAGACTTTTCGATTTGGCCTGTTACTATTCTTTTTTATGGAAATGTCTATATTACCCTTAATAAAATGATTCTTTCTATATTGCAACATATATCCTAATCTTTCAAACATTTTATCTTCTGTTAACTTTATTTTGGATATTTGAATATAAAATCATTAGATGATCTAATAAATAAGAATAACCTGCAACATTCATCTCATATTTTCTAATTAAAGTACTATATTTTTCAAATGGTAAATTTGTATTTTTTAATTGAGATATAATATTCTTTATTTCTTCTAACATTCTTTCTGATAAATTATCTAATCTTTCAATTGTATATCCTGACATTTATCAAAATAATCATCATGCAATTATCCTTGCGATTCTTTTAAGATCTTTAAAAAGATTCATTCTAATTTTAGCAAAAGTTTAATAATTTTACCTTAGGTTTGATCTAAACATGTATTCTTAGAACCGAGTGATCTTCGAGGTCTAAATTTGTAAATTGCTTCCTTCAACGGCCTCCTACCTTCACGGAATTGTTACTGTTTTAGCTACTTGCTCTCACTGTATCAACTTCTAAAAAATAAAATTCTATACTTCTGTTAAGGAAAACTCTCTTTTTACTAAAATAAGAAGGAAACTTTTTATTTGATCTTTCAAGAATCTATGGGAAAAAGATTTAGAAACTCATATTGATATCAAAATATTGAAATTTTATTTCCATTAGGATTGGTACAAGACTTTAATTTGGTACAAGGGGTTTCTAGAAAAACTGATTTTTAAACTGAGAATAGGCTATTACTTACAACTCGAGAATTCAAGATAGGATGAGATAATTTTCTTATATGACAATGTTTCTATTTATACAAGTTTTTGAGACTTTATTACATCATTGATTACATCAGCAAAGGCACTATTGCCTCTCTATTTCTTCTCTTTAGGCCTACATCTTCACATGTTGGTTCAACTTTTTTTATCCAAAGAACATCTTTTTCTATTATTACTCTTTATCTTCAATGTCTTCACATGTAGTATTATTGCCCTTCATACATCTTTGTCAAAAGGTGATTTGTCCTCTTCTTACATTTCTTCACATGCAGTTGGGACACTCCCTTAGCTGACATGATTCTTTTATAGTAGTGGGACATCTTGAAAATTGATGTATATCAAATCTGTTAATATAGTCTTTTAAAATTTCTGATTTTGCATATCCTTTATTGGATACCAGCATCCAATTCTCATATTGGCATAGGCACAAGAATTTTATCAAATAAGTTTTTGGCAATGTTGTAGATGACTTTAATCCAAAGTGCTCTTCTATGTCTGATCCATGATTTTGTCACTGTTGGGACTTTTCTATTATTCTCTGTAACATCAATTTGAAAATTGGCTGCAACATATCCAATTGAGATTATGTGTTCAATTGGATAGTAAACAACTCCATCATATTTTGGACTGATTGAATAAAATTTTAAAAATATCTTTCTTCCCTTGGTAAATCTGGATACCTCCTTAATGAATATGTCATCAAACTTTGAAATTTCAATAAAATCTTTTCCTGAATAAATCAAATCCATGAATCCATAGTCTGTCATAATTTTTATAAATGAAGTGTCACCTCCTTTCATGGCTATAATTCTGGGGTAAACATTATTTCCTGGAGAAATAAAGTATGAATTACTTATTTTTATTTCATAAGCAATTTTGACTATTTTGACATTTTTCTTCGTTTAGATCTAAAGGGATTTTATCTTCTTGGTCTATGATGCTGATTGTTTTGGTATATCTTCTATCTCCACGTATCATAACTTTTTTGGTTGATGATACAGAAATGGAATCTCCTTTATTATCAGTTGGTATATTGTCACATCTGGGTCCACTGCTACTTCCAACTGTCCTTGTTTGGTATTGGATTGGAAAACTCATTTCTGAGCTCTTTGGTATATCTGTTTCAAACAGTATATTTTTCAGTTGCTCTGCAATAGCATCAACTTAATTTTTGAGTTCAATGGCATATTTATGATGTTCAGCAGTGATATTCAATAATATATTCATATTTGAGTTGAACATCTCTGAGATTTGGGTTGTTCCAGAACTTATATCTTCAGATTCTTCTTTAAGAAAATTTGTCCTTTCTTGTATCTGTATAATAGATTGGTATAACTCCATGGCCTTGGCTTTATCCATCAGCAAATTCTATGTTTCTGTTGAGAAAATCTGCAAGAAAATTATTAACTCCTTTAATATGGACTATATCAAAATTATAAAATGCTAAATAAGCTTGCCATCTACGAAGTCTTCTGTATTGTGGTTCTGAGGGTAACTTATTCCTGACTAATCCTGCAACTTGAGAATTATCGGTTTTAACAATAAATTTTTTGGATAATAAAAATAATGAGAACTTTTTAATTCTTCTAATAATCGCTAATAATTCTTTTTCATGAATGGTATAATTTATTTCTGTTTGGTTAAAGGTTCCACTTGAATATCTACAAATTTCATTTAGATCTGTTTTTCATATTGCTGCCCAATATTTATCTGAGGCATCAGTATTAACAATCAAATTATCTTTTTTCATCTGATAACCTTACTTCTGGTAAATTTTTACATTCTTCTTTTAATGATTTAACTATTTCTGTATGTTCTTCATTCCATCACTTAATATTTGTTTTTCTAAGTAAAACTTGGATTTTATGTCTTTTCTTATAAATATTTTCAATAAATCCTTCAATATAATTTCAACATACTAAAAATTTTTGAATTTGTTCTTTGGATTCTAATTTATTTGAAAAACTTTCTATTTTTTTGAATATATGTGTTTGTAATTTTATTCCTTTTTTATCTATTGATAATCCAAGAAAGTCTATCTCTTGTTTTTCTATTATAGATTTCTTTTTAGATAGTACAATTTCTTCTTTTTTACATTCATTAATAAATTGGATTAAATGATTTCTATGCTCTTCTTTACTATTAGAACATATTAATATATCATCAATATAAACTATTAGAAGATCATTAAACTTTTTAAATATATTATCCTTTTTTTTAATATATTTGTGGTACATTTTTCAAACTAAATGGCATAACTAACCATTCATATTTTTCTTGAAGCGTGCTAAATGCGGTATATTGTATACTATCTTCTTCCATTTTTACTTGCCAAAAACCTGATTTACAATCGAATTTAGAATAATATTATTTTCCTCTTACAAGATTTATTAATACCTCTTTATTTGGTAGAAAGTAACCATCAAATTTAGTATATTTGTTTAATTCTTTATAATTTATAACCATTTTAGTTTTCCTCTAACTTGTTCAGAGTGTTTCATAACCATAAAGACTGGACTAATGTGAGGTCCATTACTAGGTCTAATAAGTTTTTGTTCTAGCAATTCTTTTATCTGATTTTTAAATTCTTGTGTATCTTCTATTGTGTACATCATTGGTCTTACTCTTATTATAACATATTCTGTTAATTTTATTTTAGCTTTTGGGTGATGTGGTTTCCAAAATAATAATGAATTTTCTCCATAAACATTTTCTAATTGTTCAATGATTTTTTCTATATTCATTTCTATTCCTATTTTTAGAACATTTTTATATAATATTCTTTTATTTTTTATTTCATTATTAAGAATTGGTTTTTTCTCCCATTTATCACTACGCTGGGCTGACTGAACTCTATGAGGTTTAAATTCTCTAGGAATTTTTAATAAGTGTCCACAAGGTGTTTATAACATTATCATATAATTATTTTGTTTATAATATTGAAATTGTTGTATGAAATCATTTCCTAATAATATATCACATTCTAATTTATCATATTTATAAATTTTGTTTATTGTTACTTGTTTACTTTCAAGAATTATATTAATTTTATCAGTACTATTAATTATTTGAGTACTTTCTCCTGTAAAACCAGTTATTTTTATATTACTATTATTATTCCATGATTTTATTAAAAAACTTTTAAATACTGTTATATCACTTCCTGTATCTATTAAAGCACAGGTTGTAATATTTGTTTCTACAATAGTAATTTGTATATACACTGCTAATGTAAAACTTATCTGATTATTCATCTAATTCTTTTTACATAATGTAGTTTGTCCATTATGAACAATATAATCATTCTCTTTTTATACTATAATCTTCTAATCCATTTAGAAAACTCATTCCTAAAAGTATATGAGGGTTTATATACATACTTCTATCTATGTAACATAGTATTATAAGATCTATTCCTCCTATTTTTATTGGTACTTTAACTTCTAAATCTGTTATATGTACTTGTCCATCAAAATTTACATATCTATACGACTCAGTTTTATGAGTTATTAAGCCTTTATTTCTAATCGAAACTATATGACATTCACTAGCTCCTGTATCTATTAATATATTTGGTCCATTTATATTTTCTCTTCCATTATAATATTCTCCTTCTATTTTCATGTTTTCAGCATTTCTATACAATTTTATTTTTTTTATTTTGTTGATTTCTTCTAATAGGTTTTTATTAGGTATTTTAATAATTTTTTATCTTTTAATTAACTTTCCATCTTTGAATGTTATATTATTAGAACATTCTCTTTCATTTAATTCTATTATTTCAAATTTATTTTTTACTATACTAAATTCATATTCATCTGGAATTAAACTTATTTGTTTATTTGGATATATTATTTTACTAATATCTTTACATTCTTTATGAACTTCAATATATAGTTTATTGGAATAAATATTCCCATAATTAAAATTGGTAAATGTATATAAAGTTCTATATTCTATAGTCATGATTTGATCACCTGGTTGCATAATATCATCTCTATGAAGTTTGAAATGTAGTCCTAAAACTTCATTAAAATTTATATCTTTTAATGATACACAATATTTTGGATAACATGTAAACATAATTTTTTGATATGCTAAATTTCCTTCTATTGTTCCTAAATGACTATCTTTTAAATTCATCATTCTTCCATCATGTAAGGTTATGGTTAAGGGTGAATCTATCCATTCTCTAAATAGTGATTTAAACATTATTTGTATTCTTGCTAAATAAACATATTGAATTTTTTCACTTTGTTTTTTACTAATCTTTGTTAATAGTTCATCAACTGTATTTTTTGTTAAAAGATTTATTTTATGTTGCCCATAATTTGTTCTTATATCTATAGTTTTTTTCTATTTTGTGATATTCATTTATTGTTATTCTTTCTCTTTTCCAAATTCTATCAAAGACTTCCCATTTTCCTATTTTTAAATCTAATGATAATTTTTACAGTTTTCTAAACTTATTATTGTCAAAAGTAACTTTTATTCCATATCCTTCTATTCCTTCATATTCTTATATATTTATATTATTAATTTCTATTTCTTCAATTTCTTTATTTAGATTCTAATTCATCTTCTTCTGTTTCACTTATATATACTTCTTGATCATAGTATTCTCCAATATCTGATATTTCACTTAATTCATCATTTATTTCTAAATATTCATTTTGTAATATTCTGACTTTCTTTTCATCACAATCAGGGCTTATGTGACCCATCTCTCCACAATTCCAACATTTACATTGACTTTTATTTTTCTTATAATTCTTATTTTTCTGTTGATTATATGGGTTATTTTTTCCTTTATAATACATTCTTCTAGGTTTTATATATTTTTTATTAAAATTTCTAAATTTTTTAAATTTTTTATTTTTAAATTTTCTTTTATTAACTCTTCTTTCAGAATTATATCCCCATTGCACATGGATTTTCATACCTTCACAACATATTTTAGTTAATTTTCTTGATTTTTTCATTAATTGTCTTTGTTGACATATATATGCAAGTCTTTCAAATAAAAATTTTATTCTTGAGCTTAAAGTTCTAGGTATTCCAGCATTATCTCTAACATATTTTTCAAATTCTATTTTAAAATATATTCCCCATGAACCTGGTAATTTATTATAATACATGTCTTGGTATACTTCTTGATTTTCATTACTATAAAATTGAACATAATAGTAATTTTTAAATTCACAAGTATATTCTTTAATTTTACACATATCACATATTGTTAAATTTATTAATTTTACTCTAGCATTATCTTTTTCTCTTATCGATTCTTTTTCAACATTTCTTATCCAATTTTCTCCTAAAAATTCATCAAAAATAAATTCCACTAATTTTTCTATACATTGTCAATCTGATTTGATTATTTCTGTTTGTACATTTCTTTTTATTAATGTTTTTGTATCATTGCTTATTTCTTCCCACCAATTTCTAACATCTCCTTCAAAGGATGCTATTAAGAAATCTATTCTTTTTTCAATATTTTCTCATGTGTCATCTTTATTATATAAAAAGAATAATATCATTGAATCAGCCTAAGTTAATAAGGCTTTTTAGTATCTATTTTACAATTTGAATCTAGTTTTGTTCCCCCATGATTAATTGGTTTATCATAATAATCATTTAATTCAAACCTATTTTTATATTTATTTCCTTTAGGTGGTTGTCTATCTCTTACTTTATCATAAAATTGTCTATATGGTTTATTATATATAGGTGCATAACTTTCATCTGTATCATGTAATTCTTGTTTAGAGGTTCCTGTTGGATTAGGTCCTCCTCCAATATTTATTAAAACTTGGTATTCACTTATATCAGTTAAGCTTAATTGATCAAAATTTTCTATTAACAAATCTAATTCTTCATTCATTTTTATCTTCTTTTTCTTCTATTTTTAATTTTCCTAATGATTTTTCTCTAAATTCTTCTTCTTCTTCTAATATCTTTGGTAATATATTTTTTCTAAATTTATCATACATGCTTCCTGTTTCTACTACTATATTTTCTTTTTCTATATGTTTCTTTCCTATCCTAGTCATTTCTTTTTCTGTAAGTTTTATATCTATTTTCTTATCTTTATTCTTATTATTTTCTTTTAATTCTCTAATCTCGATTTTTAATATATTTATATCGTTTCTTGTTTCTTTTACTTCATTTCTCAAATCTTGTACATCATTTATTAACATTTTTATTAATGATTTTAATTCTTCCATATATTCACTTATTGACATCTTAATTTTTTCTTATTTCTAACTCGTAAGTTAATTTGCATCTTTTATCTTCTTTTTTATCTATTATTTTTCTAAATCTTCTCTCAGCTATTTCTGGATCTACTAATTCTTCTTTTACTATAGTGAAATATTTGCTCTCAAGTCTTAGTCTTTGACATTTTAATTTTGTTAATTGTCTATTTTTTGATATTCTCATTCCTTCTGGTATTAACATTATATTTCTTATTTCTTCTTGTATTTTATCCATTTTTAAAAATAATTTATTCAATTTTTGATGTTTATTATCAATTGTACTCATATTTTTCTTTATAATATAAATTATTTTCTTCATCTTCATATATACTAATAATTTTCTCATATGTATATATATCCTTTATTATTTCTATTATTAATTTTTCTAATATTTGTTCTTTCTTTAGAAAGTTCTTTAATTATTGTCAAAGTCATCATTTTTAATTTATTATGAATAGGTTTTAAAAATATATAACTACCTTTTTCTTCTTCTAAACACCAATAATTATTTATTTTCTTATTTTAATTTTCATGATCTCTATGGCTCTGATACCAATAAATAGGAGCTACTTAGAGCGAACATAAATAAAATAAGTATCAAAATCAAATAAGTCGGTAATCTATTAAAATTCATGTAGTATTTGATTTTTTTAATGACTAAATTGAAAGATTTCTATATTTCATTAACTTATTATGTAATATTATAAAGGGGTATTTTGGGTACCAAAATTAGCCAAAGGCTATTTTGGAAAAATGACCTTTCTATTTGGGTCATTTCCATGTATTTCCCCAATATATTATTCCATTTGTATTCCACAAATTCTGCAACATCAAGCGAGCTCAAGTTCCCCAATTGTATCCAAGAGATTAAAGAATAAAGTACGATCCATTAACTGGCATACGAAATGAGCATATTTCACACTAAATCAAGCATTTATAATATCTTGAGCAATGATTTTGCTATCATGTAATCAGATAATGGGCATACACAATAAGCATTCTCCCTACCAAATCAAACATCTCTAGAATTATATGCAATCATTCTGCAGTCGTGTAATCGGAGTTTTTTGAAATGGAATAAAGGAGTGTAAAGAAAATATATTGGTACGAAGACACAATTATAAAGTTACGAAAATCACAAAATTCCATAGTAATACATTCAAGTACAATGACAGCGAAGAGGAACCGAAACACCTGTAGGTTTTCTTCTCTCGCGGATAATGGCTTCTTTAATCAAGGGTAATTTTTGGTGAACCTTTCTCCATATATGATTCACGGCACCATCTGGAGGTATTGGGCCAATGCCACCTGGGTGACCATTATCATACACAAAGATGGGTTGAACCTGAGACATTTTTTTCCGGAATCCATCCTTCTGTTCTTCAGAATAGCTTCTAAGATGGCTTAAAAGCCAATTTGGCCTCAATGCATCACTTACTGCCACGAATACAGAAAATTCTGAATAATCCACCATTCCTTCAAATGGAAGCTCTATGTTGTCACTAACAATGACTGGTATACAGAGACTTTGGATGGCATCAAAAAGTCTACACGATGTAGGTGTGTCCCCTGCAGGGTGCAAACAAAACTCTGACATTCTCATTCCTCTTATTGACTGCTCCTTTCCAGTGGCATTGGGGAAGCCATCTTCCATTATAACTCCAGGTTCATTTATCAATAAATTCCATATCTTTTCACGAACAAGTCCACCCTACATATAGTGAAACAAATGTTATGTTATTGATGGGGTCTTTGTAAAACAAACAAGAGAATGTTGACCAGTAGAAAAGCAAATTATGGCATTTTATATTTTGTGCAAACAACCAGGAAGCAGAAGACAATAAAATATATGTTCTTCCAATAACAAGAATTCAAAAAAGTGAAGTTACTCCAATGATTTACGGGAGATAACTAAAATTTTGAAAACTCAGATTGATGGAGTTTTTATCTTCGATTCAATTGGCTCACTCGCCTTGCCAAACTCAACAAGACAAGCAAATATAAATGGGTTCACCGTTTATGAGGTGTAATAACATTTTCTGTACACTCGTGAAAAAAGACGGTTGATGCTACCTCAACAATAAAATGCATTGTTTTAATATCTGAGGCTGCAATGCAGGTCAGGATGCGTTAAAAGGCATAGACCTTTACTAAAAGAAAGAAAAATGATTCTCCTAATTTGTTTTTCCTCCTATACCCTGAGTAAGCTACATCAAAATTCTAATGTCTGAATAGAGGTTGGATATAGTAGACTCTTTTAATATTGTTGAAGTATTTTCTTATGATTTTTCTATATGGATTATGATTTATGACTAGTATAATTTCGGATCTTGTAATTTTTTTTTTCATTATTTTATTAGTTTACTCCGAGGATGACACCTTACTTCACAGAGGCAAAATGGCCTTGATATCTGATTTATCATTGTGAAACATAGAGTACAATGACCACTGTCTCAAAAGAGTTCCCAAGCATATGTTCTTTGGTAATAAAATTAAGCCATGACATTATCATTAATTCATCAATAGTTAGATAAAGTGCCTGTGTTAGCCTTGTTGAAAAGGATAATAGCATTAAATGTCAACTCTAAGAAGATGCTTGCAGATAATAGTATTTTGTTAGCCTAGTAACAAAATTTTGCATTTAGCTTAACTTGCTGAATAGGAGAGAATACCAACCCGATGCCTATGTTTAGCTCCTTTGAAATAAAGAAGGGTGCGCCGTTTCTGGTTTTGTGATATGTGCAACCTAGGAAGCAAATGCATATATGGCACAATAACATCTTTTAGCAGTGAAACTTGGGTGTGATGTATCATCTCTGACGAGCTATCATCGGATGCCTTAGAGTCAAGTCTGTACCATCCCCCAAAATCCACCAAAAGCAGAACCGATGGAGCTATCTCATCTTTGACATGCCACATTGCAACAGGATCTGCCAAAGAATGCTTCAAATTTTAACATAACCTGACAATCCAGAAATTAAAATATAAGCGCTTAAGCATTCATTATACTTATCCTAAGTTTTCTACATTGAAGATAAATATACAGAATTAAGTCCCAAACATCCAGAGTCTCTACTGTAGATTGAAAATGTCAATAATAATAGAATTCTTGATTCTATAGGGAAGAGATTTAACTGCTAAATACCTTAGTGACGTATAACTCCAACAAGGGGTCAATTAAGGGAAGATGGCATGCACTCCATTTAATTCCAAATAAAGAAGCAACTAGTTAATTCAAGGATTCAAAATGATGTTGACATGTACAAAGGTTCATTGTGTTGTTTAAGTTACAAGTTCCGTAGCAGACAGTATCCAAGATCTTAAAGTTCATCATAATAGAAACCGACTTCACATAAAATTTAAATTTCCATCTTAGCAGTTCCCATATTTTTGGTTCTTCCTACCTTGTTATTTCTAAACAATGTAGACCGACCTTCATTTAAGCAAACACTTCCACCAGAATGTTCATTAATAAATCCATTATTTTACTTCTCTATTTTCCCTACAATTAACAGGCACCACCTCTGCATTATATTAATTTTTGAAACTAAAGTATAATATTACATGATAGAAGGCCAGAAGCTCCTGTCATACTTGATCTGGGCTTCATATTTAGAGTAGAGAAGGATACTTTAGTAGATTGACTTTCTACAACTTTCTATGAGATATTATAGAAGACATAGTGCTTGTCATGAGACTAAGATCTTGCCATGAGCGAGTCACAAATTCCACTTGAAACAGGTATATAGTTACTAGATAGAGAATATTTAGAGGCACAAGGCAAAACTCTCAAAAGAAATTGAGAAAACAACCCAGTGACTCCATAAAGTCATATGGTGACTCACTAAGCCAGGTAAAGAAGAAGATCTCTCCGTACAGAGATGCCTATGTTTTTACACCCAAGGAAATGCATATTGAAAGTCTTGAAGTTCTTTCAATCACTAATCTAATCCGTAACTAGTCGAAATCAGCGGATAGATCCAAGAAGGCAAGATTGCACTTAGCAAAAAATAACATCTGCTTCATAGATAACAAGGCAATTTAACCATATTAGTTATTATTAAAAGTAGCTTACTTTCTCTATCCACATATGTTCACGCATGCGTGACCACACTGGCTCCGTTAATTTTTGGGTTTAGATTCTTCTATGCATCATACATAGTGTAATTATGAACTACTGCATATCAAAGCCAGAAACAGTAATAAAAACCATTTCTTTGCTTCATTTAGCATAAATAATAAAGCAAAATGCAGAAGCATTTGCATGAAATACACTAATAACACTGGGGCATTCACCTGTAAGAACAAAGACATGGTCCCGCCCACCAGATCGTTTCCAAGCCTCGGACTTTTTCACCAAATCCACCACTATTCGTTGCCTCTGATAATCCTCATTCTCTTTCACCTTCTTCCTGAACACACTCTTATTGATCATCAGCTGCAATTCAGCACTCAAAGTCGCGAAAAACGGAACAAAAATCACATCTGCCTCTCGATAATCAAAAACCCTTGTAGCATAAGACTCTTTCTTTACCTCCTCCGGTGTCAACAGATCCCCCAAGATCCAGTACTCCGCACTGTACTGTTTAATTATAGGGTTCTCAGGATATGGAAGCAATTTACCAGAATCTCTGTGCAAAAGGGCCTTTCGGAATTCATTATCCACTTCACTTCCAATCCTCGTATCATCACTTAGAGCCCAGTATTTTCGTAAAATGTCGTAGTTTAAGGATCTGGGCAGGTCTAATACGTAGACTTTGATGGAATTCTGGGTGGCAGCGAGGGTAGTTTGGGAAATTTTCAACGGAGGCGGGGCGGTGGTGTAGTGGTGGTAGAAGAAGGTGATAGAGAAGAGGCTGAGTAGAGAGAGAGCGAGGAAGAAAGATGACGGTTTTGGGGACATTGATATTTGTGCTCTGCATCAGTTGGGAATGGAGTGTCAAATGTCATGGCTGGATTTAGATCCGCACCATGTTTGTTTGAGTAAAAAGCTACTCAATTTTACTTTTAAGCGATTTTAATTTTCCATGTTTATTTTTGTTATATATAAGTTATAAGAAGACAATCATAGGCAAAGTTTAAAATAAGTTACTTATGAATAAGTTTTATTTTTCTAATTATAAGTTAGTTTTTTTTTTTTTTTAATTGAAGGATTGATTATTATTAGCTATATTGTTAAAATAAGTAACTTATTTTGAGCATTACAAATATATGCATAACTGATTTTTTAGCTTAGCAAACATTGCTACAAATAACTTACATGAATGTTCAGTGAGACAAGTCGAGCCACATTTTTCCTACTCACACAAGTTGATTGACGAGCTGACTCATTAGGTTAGCTCGCCAGCTATGCTTGACATTTACAAATTTAATTTTTACCATTTTTTTAAATAAACTGGTTGAGAGTATAAGTTTTCCACATCTCTCAACTCTCCATAACTCGTAAGTCTTGTACAACTTTCGTTGTAATCACTATTGAGTCGCATAATTTCGATTTCTTTACTCATACTTTGTTTGGTATTCATGTTACCCCACATACAAAAAATGTTTTCATTACATTCAAACAATAATATTTTATAGCATTTGCGACAATTAATATATATATATATTTATTTATTTATTTATTTATTTATTTATTTATTTTATTTATTTTTTATTTTTTCATTTTTTGTATGACTTTTGAATGTAACTGTTCAATATTTGCTGTCAGTTATACAATTGAGAGCGTGTTTGGGAGTGATTTTGAGAATTGATTTTTTGACCGTTAGGAGAAAAGTGGGGTCCACATGTGAGAGAAGAAGTCAAATATGACGGCTGGAATAATGAAATAATGGTCAAAAAATCAATTTTTTAGGTGAAAAAATCGGGTCCAAACAGGCTTTGAGTGCTCATTTTATTGGATGATCAATTAGGTAAAGTAGGAAGGACAAAATTGAAAAATATATGATTGTCGACTCTAGTGAAATTTTCTCCATGTTCCACACAACATTTTTGATAATGTTCAATTTTATTGACTAAATGTGAGTTTCAACCTCAATACTTTCATCTAAGAAAATGTTACATCATAAAAAACGAGAAAATCGCATTTTTCTATGAATATCAATTTGAGTTATGATTATTAGACTATACTTTGTTCTATAATTTAGTAAACATATTTTCTAGTTCCATGCCATGTAAAATCCCTTATCCCAGCTTAACTTTTGCATGATATTAATTTTTCTTTAGCCTTTTTACAGCGTAGAAATGAAAATTCTACATTATTTCAAGTATATGTCCAGATGCAGAACGAATTCGAATATGTTTTTGCTGTTCACCAATAATTTTTATTCTACAATTAAACCTCGATAAAGTAATACCATCGGGATCAGAAAAAAATATTCATTTAGCAGGGTTATTTATTTATCGATAAATGAATAAATTATTCATTTATCGATAAATAAATATTTATTATTTTAGAGAGAGCTTTTCAATATAAAATATGTACATTGTATGTGGTAAGAAAAATCAAAAGACACTAATCAAAATATTATTTGAATCTAGGGACGCTCAAAAGTTTTAGTGAAATTTAATGTCTCTAAAAACTAAGTTCACGTACATAGCAAATTAAAAAGTTTAGTCTTTACCTATAAAAACTAGATGTTTAGAAGACATATTACAAGCACATACAATATTTTGTTTTCTCTCCAATGTCTTCTCATCATTTGAAAGGAGTAAAAAAATCAACTTTAACCGATAAAATAAGGAGTGCAATATGTGAGTATAAGAAAGAAAATCCAACTATTAGCCAAAAAGATATGCAAGCATGTGTGCAAAAAAAGTTTGATTTGACTATTAGTCAATCAACAATATCGAACACTCTCAAAAGGGCGTCGGAATATTTGTCAAATGAGATGAAAAATAGCGATTTTAAAAGGCACAAATCGACAAAATACCCTGATTTAGAGAAAGTTTTGTATGAGTAGTTTCTTCAAAGGCAAGATAAAGTGAACATGTCTGGAAAAATTATCCAAGGAAAAGCAAAAGAGCTTTTGCAAAAAATGTATGGTGAAACTAATCCAGAATTCATCTTTTCTAGTGGATGGTTAGAACGTTTTAAGGCAACATATGGAATCAAATCTTACCGACATTTTGGTGAAAGTGGTTCAGTTATCATGGAGAACATTGAAAATGCTTTACCTAGAATACGATCAAAACTAGACTAGTTTCAGTTGAAGGATATTTACAATATGGATGAAACTTGATTATTTTACCGATTGGAAGCTGATCATTCACTTGCTACCAAGCAGCTCGAAGGACGCAAAAAAGATAAGGAGAGAATTACTGTTATTGTTTGTTGCAATGGTGATGGATCTGACAAAATACCACTTTGGGTTATTGGTAAGTATGCAAATCCTAGATGCTTTAAAAATGTGAACATGAACAATCTTAATTGCAAGTATCGATCCAACAAGAAAGCTTGGATGACTGTCTTACTTTTTCAAGATTTTGTTGGTTGGTTTGAGAAGAGAATGAATGGCAGGAAGGTTCTCTTACTAGCAAACAATTGCCCAGCTCATCCAAAGGTAGTTGAAGACTTGAGAAATGTAGAATTATTTTTCTTACCTCCTAACACAACGTCTAAGATTCAACCATGTGATGCTGAGATTATTCGAGCATTCAAAACTCATTATCGTCGTCGTTTTTATTCTAGCATCTTATAAGGCCTTGAGGTTGAAGCACCAAATCCTGAAAAAATTACTATTTTGAATGCTATTAATTTTGCTAACATGACTTGAAATTTTGATGTGAAGACAACAACAATTGCAAGTTGTTTTCGGCATTGCAAGATTCGGTCAGAAGAAAACAATGTTCCCGAACCAGAAGTTGGTGAATTAGATGAAGGTATCCAAGGATTAAATGATGTCATCTTTAATTTACACTATAGAAATGTGATGGATGTTGAACATTTTTTGAATTATCCTAGCGAAAATGATGCAGTTATGGAATCACCTACAGACGAAGAAATTACTCAATTGGTAATGAACAGTAATGATGATGAGAATGATCCTGAGCTAGATGATAGTAGCGTTGTCTCAAATGTGTCGTCAAAAGATGCATTTCAAGCAATAGTCACCTTAAGCAACTATTTGCTACAATACGAGCAAATTATTTCGAAAGTTGTGTATGCTCTACAAAAAGTTAAGGATGTGGTTCATTTTGGTTTAAGTGGGAAGAAAAAACAATCAACTATAGATGCATATTTTCAAAAGGAATGATTATTGTACGGGTATTGTTGATTGATTGAAAGGTTTTGGTCTATATATATATATATATTTTTTCTCTGCGAAATATAGTAATTATTACTTTATATTTTTATTGGGCCCTTAAGGATTCAATTTTTTTTATTACTTAATACATTTAGCAAGGTTATTACTTTAGTCCATTGGCCCAAGTCGAGATCGAAAGAAATTATTATATAATCGAGGTTATTATTTTATCGAACATTACTTTATCGAGGTTTAACTGTCCGAGGTAGAATTTCTTCAATCTGTAGAGATGAGATTAAACCCGTGAGTTGAAAAACTCAATAGGTGTCATAGGTGCATTCACGATCAAGCTATACATTTCAAAACATTAACTTTATTACTTTTCATACATGTCGTACCCTGAGGCACCATTTGACATGAAGGGGCATGCCGTATTCGAGAGCACCATTTGACATACGAACATTTCTTCAACATAGAGGAGTATGCCGTACCAAAGTACCATTTGACATAGTCACATTGTTCGATCTCCATCTCAAGTTATACGGAGTGGGCATAGTTTATGGTTACTTCAAAATGATTTAATTTCATATTTGAAACAAATGAGTACTCGACACAAGATAATATTATAAAATTTTGTAATTAATACTTTGTATTCAATTAGACAGACTTTAACTTTTCTCAATTTCGAAATGTGTGATAATCATATGTTTAGAGCCCCTACAAGGGGATAATTCATTAGTAACAGCCAACTTCTTTACCTTGGCGGAAAAAGAGGTTCATGTAGCCAAACCTTCGTCTTGTACTTCATGATTCGTACAAGACAAACCTGAAAGAAAGAGCATCAGTAAAGGAACAAAGAAAATGATAATTCAAGGAAGAAACATTCGAGAGAGAGAGAGAGATTATTGTGGCTTGGTGAAGAACAACTTCGGTTTCGAAATGAAGCAGGATTGATAGATGGTTTTAAGTTAAAGCCTTTATCTTTGTTTTCGCCTCAAATCGACAAAGTCCCAACCGTCTAATCCCATCGAATGCCATTCTCAGGCTCCGTGCAATTACTTGACATTGCCGACTGAGCACCATAATAATGGTTCTTAAAACATCTGTCCTGAAACACTTTCAGCCTGCATATTCACTCTAAGCAAAATCGGTAATCTAATCTAGTTCGAACGAAAATGAGACACAAACATCCAGATTATGACAGCTCTAATCATTTGAAGTATATTATGATACATGAGACTTTTAGTTTTACAAAAACTGCTAAACACTTCATCCAAACATAAACAACAAACTTTAGTTTACAGGTATTGTTGGGGATCCTAGGAGTTCAAACAACCAAAACAACAATCAACAAACAAGATTCAAGGCAAAAATCAAGAAAAACGGGAATGGAAAAATACAACCCTTTTTGGCCGAAAATCTGTCCAGCTTTTCTGCTTCGTTTCAGCAGCTCCTTCTTCGATTTATGGGTGTTTTTCCAGGCTCAGGAACAGCCCCATGTTATACCAATTGCCTTCCAAAGAGAGAGGGGAAAAAAACCAATGAAGAACCACCACCCTTCTATGAAAAACGAGAGCTCCTACTGCTGGGAATTCCAGAGACTGAGAGCTGCCCTCTTCTTTTATTTCAAAATGGTAGAGTGTACATAATGAAGGGGTAGGAAGAAAGACCATGCCTCTGCCAAAGGAAGGGAAGACCTTATTGTGTCAACTCACTCCCATCAACTCACAACATTAGGTGGTGGGGTTAGGTGAACCATATCTTCACATTCTTCACCTTGGTTCTCCTAACACTCTCTCTTGGTTGCGAATTTGCACATGGAAGAACTGTTCATCATCATCGCCCACCACCTGCAAGAAAAATTAACCAGTGTCAATGTGTAATAAAGATAAGCACAATCTAAATTTACTTACAGGTAGAATTTTTGTTCCCATATCAGAGGGATTCCTATCAGTGTGAATTTTAACAAGATTAACTTCACCTTGAGACAGTTTCTCACGTATAAAATGATACTTTACCTCAATATGTTTAGTTCTTTCATGGTAAACAAGATTTTTACAAAGCAATAAAGCACTTTGACTATCAGTAAACATAACAGGTGTATCATGCATGAAGTTCAATTCTTTTAAAATTCCTTTTAACCAAATACAATTTTTTTTAGAGCTTCGGTTATAGCTACATATTCAGCTTCAGTGTTGGATAGTGTAACCAAAGGTTGCAATTGAGATTTTCAAGTTATGCAATTGTCTCCAAGAGTAAAGAAATAGTCTGTAGTTGATTTTCTACTACCTTTGTAACTAGCAAAGTCAACATCTACATAAACCTTAAGGGTTAAAGATTTCAGTTCTTCTCTAATACACTAGACCCAAATTTAATGTCTCAACAATATATCTCAAAACCATTTCATTCTAGCCCAATGGTGCTTACCAGGGTTGGTGGTGTGTTGTCGTAGGCAACCAAAAATAAAACATATAATCCTAGAAATCTAGGTAATAGTGCGAGTAAGGATCGTTCACACAAAAAGTGTCTAATCTAACTTTATGCTATGTAAACAATGAAGAAGGTTTTTTATTATAACACAACCAATCTAAAGAAAATAACTAATAAGCAATGCTAATTGACGGATCGAAATAAATAAAAAGAACAAACCTTGATCTAAGTTAACATCCACCGTCAAAAGTTCACAACTGATCATTGATCCATATATAAATATCAATTCATATTTTTAGCATTCATCATTGGAATTAATTTCCTATCTATCCTTAATTGTAGTTAATTAGAAAACAAGCGATCCAATTAACCTTAATTACTAGACAACCTAAGAAATGTGCTAAGGTTTAATCTAATAACAGCCCTAAGAATTAGAGAGATCGATGAATATAAATAATACAAGCACAAGTGGTTATATTTGATCTACTCATACGTTCGTCCCAAGATTTAACAATTTCTAACGCAACAAGCCATTAAATCCTAGTTACTTCACTAGTTAAATGAATCAAACAATTACGGATTTGATATTAATCAATCAACAGATTGTAGCATATAATAAATTAGTAGGCCTCCAAGTAATTAAACACAACAATTATGAAAATACATGTAGAAGAATATTCAATACTCAAAACATGAATTAAACAATGAAAATAATTTAGATCTCACAGTTTAATTTGTCTCGAGGCTTCAGTTTCCTTTGACTAAGTACAAGAATTAACCAGACACGAAAATTGAAAGTCTCAAAGAGAGGAGAAGGTGATGGGAGGCGTGTGTCCTTCTTTTGGACGGTCATAGGGTTTAAAAAAAGGTTCTTGAATTGTTTCCATAAAAGTTTTAATCAAATAAGGAAACCAAAATTTTTTGACTGAAATTGTACTATGCAACCGCATAGTATATTTCGATGAGACCGCATAGTTCAACTAAAATCACCCCTTCAATTCTATGAAGATACATGTTACTCAACTTACAACATTTATGTTTTAGCCCTCAAACACGTTTTCTCATTTCTTGACCTTTTTTTGTCATTTCTTCTTTTTCCAACACTTCATGTCTTCAACAAATTGGTCATTAACTCTTTCACATCCTTGTTTATGCTTCCGGGTCATCTTTCAACTATTTGCACTTTGGTCCCTAAACTTTAGTTTTCTTCCATTTTGGTCATTTTCCACTTGTCTATCCTAATTTTCGCTACATTCATCAATTTGCATCCTAAATCAAAATACAAGAATAATGAGTACATTTAGGCACCAAATAATTATAAAAGCATACATATTAAGAGAGGAATAATATAACATTTTACATTCTCATCAAATTCTCCTACTTAACTTTCGTTCATCCTCAAGCAAAATTCAAATTTACTTCACCAAAAACATCAAGGTTGCAATGCTATCGACATAAAACAACCAAACTCTTTAAAATACATAATATATCATGAATAAACATGATCAGACAACACATAATTACTTAGTAAGCATTTTCTTTCGAAAATGGAGTAAACTAAACATGCAGAACCTTATGGAAATAAGTACTCGACTCTCATGTGTTTAAAGGGTATGTGTTTTGCTCAAATTCATTTCAATGGAAATGATCTACCATATGCTTTCATATCTTCTCACTTGCCACCATTTAGATCACCTGCATAACACGAATCACAAGGACTTTTCAAGGGTTGTAAGGTGGCTTTGGCATAAGGTGGGAAGTATTTGAGAATGTAGCTCAAAAGCCATCGAAACTAATGGAGCAAAAAAAAAAATGTAACAACTCAAACTCAAATACGTGTAATACATGCATAACCAATCACTCCACTCACAATTTCTTTGATTTGCATCTATCTCATTTAATGCTAGGAGAAAATGTGAATATAGATAGTTTGTAACATTAAAAACTATTTCTTCCATCACTTCCTTTTTCCTTTCTTTTTTTCGTTGTTTTTTTCTTTTTCTTTCACTCAAAACATTACATCGACAATGGAACTTATGAATTGAAAAAAAAATCTCAATATCTTATATTCTTCTTCGGAACCTATTTGACTCAAGCAATTAAGCCTGCGGGCTTTCTCATAACCTGGTGCCTATAGTCAACTGACTTGGATTAATTGGCCTAAAGTTCGCTACAAGGTCATCTTAGTTAGTTAATGGAAAAAGACCTACACTTAAGATGTAAAATATGATGAGCTTAAAAAATATTGAAGGATATGTATAAAATTTATATATGATCAAAGTTAGGGGAAGAAAAGAAAATATCCACACAAAATGAGCTTTGATTTAAATGTTCTAATGTGCTTTAAATGGTTTAACTATCATAAATAGAGGAATAAACTTATTAACAGTGATGCTTAGCATGTCCATTCTCACAAAATTAAGGTTTGGAGTTTTGCTTAGCAAGGATTAGTGACACTTTACAAACATGGGTCACTTATATAATTTACTCCATGTTAACTTGGACTGAGTATGTGGAAAGGTTTACTGATCATTGATTATTCTTGTTCATGCTATCAACTGCATATTTTGAGTTATTGT